ATTTTCCGAGTTAAAATGGTTATATTTCAAAATATATTTTCAAGCTTAACCTATGTGACTATTGACAAGGGTCAACCCGAGTCGAAAATGGTTGACCCGGGTCACTATTTTTCGACCCGGGTCACAGCTCTAACTTACATAGTAAAAAATTAAATGCAAATGCGATTAACTTTGTTGAGTAAGATTCTGTATCAAATTTTAAATAAAATGATAATTGCGAATTTACAAATTTGGATACCAGGAACAGAGTTATTTACAGCTGTAGATTCTATCATATTTGTTGTAAAAAAAAATTTAAAATTTACTGACTATTGTAGCAATGTTTAGTTAATTTGTAATGAAATTAATTATGAATTCACTGTAATATGAAATCTACGAACTATTGCAGTACATACAGTATGTAATTAAGTTAGTGTATTGGAATTAACAGCCATGATTTTCATCAGGATTTACTGTAAAATTTTATTAAACTTGTGGTATATAGTTAAGTTTATTTGGTATCAATGGTCATGATTTTTGTCATTATTTACTATAAACTAGAAAGAAATTCAAATGTGCGTACACATACTTTCGCATATGTTACTTTAACGCTAATGGTTTTAATACATTCCCGAAGATTTTAAATTCATGGTTTTTTTCCCAACAATTTTGATTTTACACTTGCCAGAATTAGAAACTTACACCCGTACTTGCCTATTTGAGTAATTGCTGTAGTGGGAAAAAAATTGTTAGACGAAACTTTGAGGTTTCGCGCCGACGCAACGTGAAACCTGGTTTCGTCTTTCGTCAATAAAAATTAAATGACAGAATGACGAAACTGACAAAAGGTGACGAAACTGATGAAAGATGACGAAACTGACGAAACTGTAAAGGGTGGTAAAAACTAATAAAAGACAAATATACAAATAAATGCTGTTGAAAATCATTGAAGATTATGTGTATAAAAAAATAAAAATTACAAAAAATTATATTGTATAATAGGCGCTTAAGGGTGTTAGAAATGAGTATTCAATATTATATTATACATATCAGTTTTAGTGAGAAATCGCTTGGTGCTTACTTTGCGATCTTACAAATTTATTTTGTGTTAGTATGGTTTAATTCATTATTTGTGTTATTCCATGAGTACTATGGCTTTTTTGACAAGGTTATTTCAACCGATATATAACAACCTATTCATCTTTCGTCATAATACGAAAAAGGTTACGTCTAACAACTATAGTGGGAAACTTGTGCTTTAAAAAGGACCATTATTGATCATATGGGCAGCCGTCAATAGAAATCAAGCAAATCTACATTTAAAAAAAATTTAATGCTTAACTTTCACGGCTCATATCTCAATGAATTTTAAAGCTATCTTGATAGTTTTATATAAGCTTAGATCATAAGCTTTCTTTTGAATGTTAAATCATCAAGATAGCTTTAAATTCATCGAGATGAGCAGTGAAGTTAAGGCATTAATTTTTTTTAAATGTAGATTTGCTTGATTTCTATTGACGACTGCCCATATATCAATTTAATACACACAAAAAATTACCATATAATAATACTGTATATATTCAGGGATGGTAAATGACCAGGTCATTTGTCTATTTTGCAAATGACCTGAAATGACTCCAAAATGACCGGTCATTTTGGTCATCTAATTTTTGAGTCATTTGAAAATGACTCGTGACCAAATGACCTAGGTCATTTATAAATGACCAAAGTCATTTGGGTCATTAGGTCATTATAATAAAATTAAATAAATTGAAATAAAAAATAAAAAATTAAATTAAATTTCACAATATCCGATTTCTAAACAGTTCGGCAGTTAAACTCACACATACGTGCGCACATATCATGAGCGTTGTTTCGAAAATAGTACACCCTAAAAATAATATATATAATTTCGGAACTGGATTTAGTACTCGAATTTCAACAAAAGTCGTGTTTCAGAACAACTTTTGTTAAATCTCGAAGGAAGGTTTACTTAGTACTAAATCTAGTTTCGAAGCATTTTTGTTTGTTTACTTTTTATACAAGAATTACTTAAAATTTTAATTGTCTCAAAATAACGCTCATGCGCGTACTATAAATAACGCGCGTATACCAGATACTCAAAAATAACGCGCAGGTGAGCATTATTACGCGAAAATACGGTGTGTATGTACTAGGGCTGCATGAGCCAAGCCTGGCATGGGTACTATGTTTTAATAGTACGCGTGCCAGCTAGAGATGGACAAATCGCGGTTTCCTCAAAAATCTAACGCGTCACGCGCGGCAAATATGCAGGTTTCTTAATTTTTATGTCTGAAAAAAACCATGCAGAAATTATTACTGTATTGAGAATTTCAGTAAATATGTTAATGCAGGCCAGATATTATATTAATGCCAGTCATATTATATGGTAATGCCGGCCAGATAATTTTATCCAGGATCATATTAAAAATCCTGCGCGTGCCCATCTCTAGTGCCAGCACTTGCAGAGCTCTAGTTACATACCTGATACATACGTGCGTATGTATATACCATCATACATACCTGATACCTATTCCAAACCCTGCTTGAGTTAGTTTATTAATTGGGTATACATGGAAACTTTTATTGAGCAAATTTTTTTGAAAACTGTTTTCTTTTTGTATTCAAAATTGCTTTAAAAAAAGTGACTTATTTTCATTATTTTCAAGAATATATACGGTATATTTTTCAAATGACCCAATAGGTAATTTCGCTCTTTTAAATGACCGGTCATTTGTCAGTATTCACTTGAGTCACGAGATCATTTCAGGTCATTTACATCTCTGGTATATATATATTCATTTTAGCAAAGAGCTATATTTTATTTCTTTTATAAATAATAAATTAAGCGAGTAACTTAGTTAAAGATCAAAGTAACACCTTTTTTCACTTTTAAAATACATGTTTATGATTAAGATATGATATTTTTCTTAATAATTATTACTTTATAATTAATATTAACACCATCAATTACTTATAGGCTTTCTATCATGATACACAGTAACAACTATTTTGCCAAAAGCTCAAAATATTTCTTGCAAAAATCGACATTTTAGTACGTAAGCCACATACTTTACACAGGATTAATAGTGCATACAATGTCAGTTTCGGTACAAGTAACAGTATATGTACCTCCTATAAGAATTGGAGGAGTATTGGGGCAATTAGTGGTAGGATCGGGCGTTATCGCGCAAGCAGCATAAGTGTTAATGGTAATGGTTTTAGTAACGGTAGGAATGGAAGTTGTGGTAGAAGTGGGAGTGGGAGTGATAGAGCATGGTTTATGTGGTTTAGGTGCTTTGTATGGTTTATGTGGTTTAGGTGCTTTGTATGGTTTATGTGGTTTAGGTTGTTTGTATGGTTTATGTGGTTTATGGAAACCATCAACAACAATGGATAATGTCAAGAGGCAAGAAAAAAGAATGATTAAAGCTAAATTTAGAGTCAGTTTACTCATTGTTATTAAATTGTAAGAATTGTATGATCGCATTTTAAACTTGTAAAAGTTTGACAGTTATATAACTTTAGATCGAATTTTGTATCACAATACAGTCGTCCTCCTCTACAGTCACTTCTTATATTATCACACCCTCCTTATAAGTACGTACGTACCATTTTTTGAAAAATTGTTGCCAATATATTCGTTGAAAAAAATTTATATAATCACATTACTATTAAAATTTTATAATCGCATCTTTTTTTCTTAATTCAAACGGCGTGATTATAGAGAGGGACGACTGTATTGGATCACCTAAAATCATTTGAGATTGAAATGTACGTATGTAGGGATGTTGCAGTGCAATTTACTTATTTGCGCCGGTAACACAAACCAAAAAGGAAATCAAATTTTTTAAACTAAGTGCGTAAAAATAGGAGTTTAGGATTAGGATGTTAGGATTGTGAGCTTTGGCTATAAGTTGGAGTTTCTTGTATGTAAAATTTCATCCCTGTTATTTTTTATTAGTCCAATAAGATCGATTTAAACACTATTTTCGCTTTCTTTTTTTTTTCTTCTTTCGGAATGCCCGAAATCTGTGTTCTCTGATTGGCCATTTCCTTTTAGACCGGCGCAAATAAGTGAGTGATGCGTCTGCTGCAGTCCGGTCCCGGTCCCTGAAAAGCCTGGATCCGAACTAGTTCACCCTGTCAAAAATAATCAAAAACCGGTCCTCTCTAGTGTTTTAGTAATAGTAATTGCATGGATTGTATTAGTATTGTACTCATGTTTATTTAAGATCAAAATAAATTAGCTAATTAGATGATTTTGAGATCACAAGATTATAGGACTAGTTTTTGGACCAGCCCTAAACTAGTTCCTAAAAAGTCCGGCCTGGTATGAACCCGTTTCCCATGAATCACTTAACATCCCTAAATGTACTTTCTCTTTTATTAATATAATACAGTCGGTCTGTTTAAATCTATTATAGGGGCACCTCGGTAAATTTTCCAAAAAAGCCCATAAGGTTATCACGTTGATAAATCCGATTTTATCGCTTCCCTTGTATTTATAACGTGATAAATCCAATTTTGTCACCTTATAGGAAAATTTATCGGTGGTGTCTCCTATAATAGATTTAAACTCAGTCGACCTCTTCAATCGCTCAGTTTGTTTATGCAAAAAATGTGATTATAAAAATTTTATTGATGTGCTTATTTTTTAGTTTATTAACGAATTTTTCAAAATTTAAGATGATTATTTAGAATTTGTGATTATGTAGGAGTGATTATAGTGGAGTATGAGTAATACAAATAATAATGCAAATAATACATTAATTAATATAAAAATGCAAATAATACATTAATTAATATAAAAATGCAAATAATACATTAATAATTAATATGATAATGCAAATAATACATTAATTAATATAATAATGCAAATAACACATTAATTAAATAAAATAATGCAAATAATAATAATAATACATTAGCGCTTGTTGGCGATTGGTGCTACTTAAAATTTCTGTTCCGGTAAATTTTTATTGAAGTGACATTTATTTTTGGTAATTGATTTTCTTTTACTAAACTTTTT